GCGGGGCCCCTCCCCCCAGGCCTCCCCCACCCTGGGCAACGCCGCCTTTGCGGCTGCCCCCTGCCTCTTCTGTTTGGCTCAGCCTCCTGCTGGTCACTGCGCCCGCTCGCCCCTCTTCCTCCGAGTGACCCGCCCGCCCTGCGCAGATGCTCTCTGCAGCGGAGCGGCCCCGCGCTACCCCTAGCGTGGGAAACGGATGCAAACTCCCTGCGTCTTGTAGCCTGTTTGTACTTAGCTAGGGGCTGCAGAGATTAGCCCCCGGGCTTGCCTGTCCGGAGCTGGAAGTGGGGTTGGATGCGTGCGGGGCGTACAGCAGGGACAGGCTGAGGGAGGCGGCCCTAGTGGGGCACTTAGCTTGCCTCAAAGACACCCCTTTAGAACAGGGGTGCCCCAGAGAAAGCCTTGTTTGTTGGGCTTAGCATCCCGTGTTTTCCTGCACCTCTCGTATCTGCCTGGGTTTTTTCGTCTTTGAACCAACTTGTCACTAAAGAATGCAAACCAGGGTTTCTAGAAGCAGTTCTTTTGCTGGTGGAATGAGGGGGCTGTGTCTCAGTCTTATTTAATATGCAATATAAAAGGAGGCTATAAGCTCTTTGGGACAGGGACTGTTTACCGAAGGTTGTGTAGCGCACATCATTAGAGCTCTCTGTGCTGATACAAAATTTGTATCCGCATCTACATCTGCAAAAATGAGCCACGGATATCCACATCCACATTTGTGGATGTGGATACCTGTGGCTATAAAGCGGATAGCTGTGGATTTGCAGGGCTCTCCACACTGTAACTCTATCTCTGGGTCTTTCTGTAATACAAACAAATTTTATATAGAGAACCTCTGCACAGCACCTGATTATTTAAAAAAAAACACTTTGTCCACTGCTGAAGGGCAGTTATCTGAAGTGGAGTAAGCCAGTTGTTCAACAGCACACAGTAACGTTAAAGGAGAACTTAGGACAGGAGATGAATGTTACTATAGCTAAATGAAGCTAGAGTGGAACAGAAGTAGGTGAATGTTAAATCACCCAAATTCCCATTTATCTAACACACAGACATAACTCTCTATAAGTATAGGGGATATATCATGGGACAGAAGCTGTCAACCTTTTTCTTGTTAAGGCTCCCCTGAACATGCTATAAAAACTGAGGATGTTAAAATGTATTTATTGAAAATGTCATCTGTTACGCATTCACATGCCGGGGTGGGAGGGAGCTGGCTTTTAAGCTGGCTCACCACACATGCTGACTTTGTGCCTGCCCACCCACCCCCTCTGCAGCATGAGGGTGGGGGGGGGGGATTGTGTATGATTGTGAAGGTTAATCAATGAGCCCAGGTTCATCAATTAACCATGGACACATTTATACTTTCACATGCCTAATAAAAACTCTAGAGCTTTGGGGCTCTGGGCTGAGGGGCAAGACCCTTGCTCATAGGAATAGTTTTAATTTTTTGGAGAGGGGATAAGGGCTGCTGGTGGTTGGGCCAGCTCTGCACAGGGGAGCCAGGGAAGAAGTGCCACTGAGTTGTGGAAGGAAACAACCAAAATTATAACTCAAAGTGTGTGTGGGGAGAAGGTGGGGGGAGAGAGAAATTCAGCTCAGAAATTTTGAAAACTGCTCAGGGTGCAGGCTGGGGTTAGCTAGGAGCTGTGTACTGGTATGGGGATAGTTAAGGGTGAAGGCAGGGGAATAGGTTTGGCAGAGAGGTAGCTAAGGGTGCAGGCAGAGGTGAGGGCTTCCAATGTAGTTCCCAGTTTAAATGGGGGCAGGAGCGCTGGGGTGGCTAACGTGAGGACGGGGGAGTGGGAGGCTGGTTTCTGCCTTGTGCTGCACCTGTGGGACACTGTAGCACAAGGCACCAGGTTTCAACCTCAGGGTGCTGCGGTCTCCCTGAAAGGGCTCACAGGCTCTGAGTTGAGAACTACTGCCATGGGATCTTACAGGCTATGAATTGTCAGGAATACTCCTCCTCCCATCCCATCCCCCTAGGGTTGCCAGGTTTCCGGTTTTCTACCAGACAGTCCGGTTTTTGTGCCCTCTGTCTGGTAAAAAAATTCAGAAAATACTGGACTGTGCAATGTCTGGTATTTTCTGTTTTTCTGGCTGGGCGCCGGACGGAAGCCTGGCAGGGGCAGGGGGAGTGGCCGGGAGGCGGGGCTGCGATCGGCGCTTGGAGCCTGTGGTCGCGTGCAAAAGCCTGGCGGGGGTGGGGGGAGTGGGGGGGGGGGGCGGGGGCGGCCCCCCCCCCCGCCCCCTCCTGGATTCTGCACACAACCAGAGGGAGTCCCAGGCTGGGAGGCGGAGCCGTGATCTGGTTGCGTGCAGAAGCCTGGTGGGGCACAATTGGTGCTGGGAGCCCTCAGCAGATTGCATCTGGGGAGGAGGAGAAGCCCTGTCCCTGCTCCTGAGCGCTGTTCAATTGCATTGTGGTGCCGGGAGAGAAGCCCTCAGGTGCTTTATAGTTGCGTTTAGGCGCCTTCCATGGAGACTCAGCCAAAACTGACTGGGGTGGAATTTCTGCTTCTTCCCATTGGGACACCCGAAGACCTGGCTATGGGGGAGTCATCTTCCTACCCATGGTCGCTTCCGCCCTCTGCCCTGCCGTTGTGTTGCCCCGAGGTCTGCCTCTCTCTGCTCTGGGTAGCAGGCAGCTGCTTTGCAGAGCAGGTTCTGCTGCCTCCCCCTTTGTTCCTAGTTTGGTGGTTCTTGGTAGTAGCCACACAGGATGTGTGTTCAGTGTGGGTGGTTTGGTTTGGTTTTTTTTTTTGCTTGACAAATTTTTAGCCCATGTGTTTGGTATTTTTTGGGAGACCATCTGGCAACCCTACATCCCCCAATGAAGTGGTTGGAGGTGGCATGTTATCATGTTGTACCACATTTGGGGATTTCTTTTATACTTACTTTAAAGGCTGCTACCCACTGAGTTGGCAGTACTCTTCTGCACAAGAAACTTGCAAGGAAACTCCAAGTGCAAACCACTCAACTTTGGTTAGCCTGAAGAGCTGACAGACTGGAGATGATTGTATGTTGCAACAAGGTGTTACTTCATGTGCTGTCAGACTCTACTGCTGCCTCAGTTTCTCTTCTTCCCCCATCAAGGGGTGCTTTTGAGTTACTCTGGGATCTGATTTATTAGCATAAAGCAAAGCATATTAACTTAAAGCCAGACTCTTCTCCAGGTTCACCACTTCATTATGCCTCTCCTGGACTCCTGTTTCCCTCTTCAGATATATCTACACTGCAGAGGTTTTTTGGAAAAACGTCACTTATGTCCACACTGTAGTCATGTTCTTTTGAAAATAAATCGGAAGAACAGAGGGGGCTTTCCGACATTGGTAAACCTCTTTTTACGAGGAAGAAGCCTTTTTCTGAAAGAACTCTTTCGGAAAAAGGCGTGTATGGACGGGGAAGAGGGAGTTCTTAGGAAAAAAGAGGAAAAAGCACAGGTGCCCCGGTGGCCACTCCGTCTATAATAATCACAGCTTAAATGCGAGAGAGCGTCCATTCGGTGTGAACGCTATCTTTCGGAAAAGCAGATCGCTTTTTCGATGCACTTTTGCTGTGTGGACTCTTCCAGAAGAAGTTTTTTTGGAAGATCTCTTCCAGAAAAGCTTCTTCTGAAAGAAGCCTGCAATCTAGACATAGCTTTGAAGTTTTGCTGCTGCCCCTCATTGAAAGTCGCTCCAACTAGCTGGTGTGACAAGCTTCTTCTCTGATTCTGGGTATACTCTGGGTTCCCCCTCAGGAGCCTCCTTGTAGGTCCTGCTCTTTACCCCCTGTATCAGGCCTCAGCTCCCTGGACTTCTATAAGCAAGGTAGCTTACCCTGATCTCCTGAGAAAACAAATTTCCCCTTATATGAAGGCTCATGTAAAGACAATGCCTCAACGTGATGTGATCTCTGGTGCTTGTGAGAGTAATGGGCTGAAATTTCTCCCCTCTCCTCTCACAAGAGGGGAAAAATCAAATGAGAGCTGATTCACAGATCCCAAGGCTGAAAGGTACCATCTAGTCTGACCTGTGTCACAGAGGCCGTAGAATTTCCCCACATCATTTCCTACAGCAGATCTTTTAGAAAAAATGTCCAGTTGTGATGTAAGAATTGTCAGTGATGGAGTGATGGTTAATTATCTCTGGTTAAAAATGGATGTCTTATTCTAATCTGAATTTGTCTAGCTTCAGTGTCTAGCCATTGGAGTGGGTTATAACTAAGTAGTATATGCAAGTAAAGATACCTTCCTTTAAGGCACAGGTTCAAATCCAGCTCTCCCTAGCAGTGACCAGAGACATTGCTGCCTAATACCCGTTCAGTAGTTTTTGTGGTTTGAGCCTGTTCTCTCAGTCTGGATTGAGGAATTCACCTTAAAAGACTCAGTCATATCCTGCACTACTGTGCTGACAGTTTGAATGGAGAAGTCATGGATTGAATAAACATAGCGATTTGACTCCCTCTCACATCTAGAGGCGGCACCACCATGTCGTGTGTTAGACACATGGATAAGAATAGTACAGAAGTGGGCTGTGGGGTTTGACACACACCACTGCTGTCATGTACCAACTGCCTTTTGTGGACTGGAAATCCCATTCATCTCCTGGCAGCTGCTGCCACAATATAATAGATATACTGTATTAAGTATTTTCTTCCTTCCTTTCTTCCAGGTGCAAAGTGGAAGCATTTCACTGACCAGATTGACAGAGCGGTGGAGGCCTACAGACCGTGTATAAGGGAGAATTGCAGCTGCTACCAGAGGTGAGGGTATGCTTCGCTGCTTGCTTGATAGTCCCTCTGGCACTAGAGAGAATGCTCTTGCCATGCACTGATGGGTGGTGGAGGATAGCTGTGAAATGACCAAGAGCTATCATAGCTTGAACTCAAGAAGGGAAAAATAGTGTTCAAAAAGAAAATACTCTTGATGGCTTTCCCAATACATTAGTTTGTATGTGGACATCTCAGCTGAGGGGTGTCCACACACAAAAGCTATCCTCCTAATTGTTCTTGTTGGCAGCATCAGCAGTAAAGCAGACTGGCCACTGATGGCAGGGCAGAAAGGGGTCAGTTGCTCTGGGGCCCAGAAGGGCTGATTCAAAGGGGCTTATGGCTCCAGCTGCAGTTGGCTGCTGGAGCCCTGGACCCTTTAAATTGGGGTTGAGTGGGGAATGTGCTGTGCTCTGGGCAGTGCTAAGGGCTGGCTGCCCTTGGCCCTACTCCTCCCGCCCTCGGCTTTGCCCCTTTGCGGTATGCAGAGCCGGCTCCCCCACGCCCACGTTGCCCAGAGGCCCATGGAGGCTGTTTTCTCCACGGAGAGCAGATGACTGACAGGGCCATAGTCTAAACTCTCCTTTTCCCCCTCTGAGACAGTCTCTCCAGAGAAGGATTGTAGCACTGCTGTAACAGTCCTGTGGATAAGGGCTTTAGTCTCTGGCCATGTTTATCTGACTTCTAAACAGCACGCTTTTAAATGAAGACAATGGAAGGAGAAGGAAGAGTCAAAACACGCAGCTTACACAGTAGAGTTGTTGGAGGAAAAGAAAACCCTCTGAGCAAATTTAGGAAGCATGAGAACTGGGAGTGTAATAGCTTCCCTGATGTGTCTAATGGCAGGTGATGTCTCTCCTTTCTCAGTGTTAGGGAACAAGACTTGGCGCCCTTTCGAGGAGGCATCTCCAAGGAACTGCTGTCTGATGGGGTTAGCCGAAAGCTTGGGACGCACTACCAGATCATCAAGAACAAGTTATACCGTGAGCATGACTGCATGTTCCCTGCTAGGTGAGAACAATGCAGAAAATCACCTTCCCAGCGAGAAATAAAAATTAAACACATTTTAACATCCTTCCTTCTTAGTAAGCACATCCACAGAAATTTGCAGTTTGGGATTATCTGGCTAATTGTATAGTCAATACAACTGCAGCTGGGACTTGAGCAGTCCTGGCTTGTGCAGGCTCCGGAGCCACCCATGCTGTGGCTCTGCCTTTTAAATGTAATAAGAGCCGTTGGGCTCTTACTACATTTAAAATGCAGAAGTGCAGTGATCAGTGCTAGCTGGGACTGCTCGGTCCTGGCTCATGCTGAGTCCAGCAGCCCCTGTTCATGGCAGCCAGGGGCCACAGCCCCTGTCCGTGGGTGGGTCTAGCTTCCTGCTGGGACCCCTGTGGACAGGGGGTACTTCGCAGCAGCATCCCCTATCCCTCCCACTGCCTCTGATAGGGGCAGAGGGGTCGGGGGCTGATGTCACCCTGGAGCCGGTGCTGGGGGGAACCAGCTTTTAAGCCTGTTCCCCCCCAGCACTGGCTCCTGTCCCCACCTTGCTGCCTCTCAGAGAGGAAGCAAGTGTGGGGGGCACCGCAGAGAGCATGGAGCGAGCGGGGGACTGCTTGAGTCCCTGCTCGCCCCGTGCTCCCCACAGAGGGCTCTTGTACATTTCAAAAGCAGAAGCTCCTACAGTGGGAATGGCGCGAGTGGGGACTCAAGCAGTCCCTGCTCATGCCATTTGCCTGCTGTGCCTCTACCTCCCCTGCCCCCGGCAGAGATGGTGCGGGGGGGGGGAGGGGAAACAAGTGGGGACTCAAGCAGTCCCTGCTCATGCCATTTGCCTGCTGTGCCTCTACCTCCCCTGCCCCCGGCAGAGATGGTGCGGGGGGGGGGAGGGGAAACAACTTTTAAGCCAGCTCCCACCAGCACCAGCTCCTGGCTCCCCCTCCTTGTCTTACTTCAGAGGCTAGGCCAGCCAGACTCTGCTCTCAGGTTCGGAGGGTAACCAAGAAGACACAAATCACTTAATGCAAATACATGCAAGGTTTATTAGATATGACAAGTGATATACAAAGAAAAGGCCAAAGGACCTGGAACTGTACAGAGGTGCCTTTTGAACCTGGCCCAGGAGTCCATCCTTTGCTGAGTCAGTCCCCAGCAAGCCAAAGGGATGTTTTAAGCCTTCTCTTGCCTTTTGTTTTTATATCACCTGTAATATCGAATAAACCTTGCGTTTATTTGCATTAAGCGATTTGTATCTTCTTGGTTACCCTCTGAACCTGAGAGAAGAGTCTCGCTGGCCCAGCCTCTGAAGTAAGACACTGCCTTGCTGCTTCCCTCTGATAGAGGCAGCAAAGGGTGGGGGGAAGTGACTTGTGGAGTCGCTATTCAAATATCCGATAAGCATTTGCTTATCGGATAGTTGACTAGTTGCTAACACCCCTAGTATGAAGCAGAAAAGAAATGGGATATTTGTGTAAAGTGTGCCTCCAAGTTTTTGCAAGATAAAAGCCTTCATTTTCAATATTTTGCAGCTTTTTCCTTATAGTAATTGTATGTTGTTCAGATATGGTGGGTTAGCAGTAATGGCATTTTTAAAAACCCAGCTTTTGTGATTTAGTTCATTGCACATATTAATGTAAAGTTATAATAGCACAAATTAGTTTTATAGAATCTCAACCTGACTTAAGTGAAGCTTGTTTTAAAAAATGCATTATTTACATCAATTAGCTAAATTTGTCTTAATTCAAATCACAGTATCATAGGACTGGAAGGAATTTCAAAGGGGCATCAAGTCCAGTCCCCTCCACTTATGGTAGGACCAAGCACCATCTAGACCATCCCGGACAGGTGTTTGTCTAACCTACTCTTAAATATCTCTAGTGATGGAGATTCCACAATCTCCCTAGGCAATTTATTCCAGTGATTAATCACCCTGACAGTTAGGACGTTTTTCATAAACCTAAATCTCCCTTGCTGCAATTTAAGCCCATTGCTTCTTATCTAATCATCAGTGTTTAAGGAGAATAATTTTTCCCTTCTCCTAGTAACAACCTTTTATGTAATTGAAAACTGTTATCATGTCCCCTCCCTCTCAGTCTTCTCTTTTACAGACTAAACAAACCCATATCTTTCAATCTTCTTTCATAGGTCATGTTTTTTTAGACCTTGAATCATGTTAATTGCTCTTTTTTGGGCTTTCCCCCCCCCCAATTTGTCCACGTCTTTCCTGAAATGTGATTCCCAGAACTGGACACAATACTCCAGTTAAAAAGCCCTAAATCTACTTACCACTTAGATTGTTGTGATAGCCATGTTTTCCTGATGCCGTATTATATGTTGAGCTCTCATTTCAGAAGTCAAACATGGTTGAGTTAGGTCAGTCCTTGGATGGGAGAATCTCGGCAAAAGCCCAGGTTCTTCAGGAAGTGGCATCGGTAAGTGCTGTGCCACTTTTGAGTCCCCATCGAGCCAGCTGCAGCCTGATGTCTTGCTTGAGATGGCCTCTTTTAAATGAGACATAAAACTAAGATATTGACTGCTTATTTTCATAAACAAACCCAGGGCAGTTATTTCTGATAAAACAGGAATGTTCACCCGGCTTGATTATCGTTAATCTGCCTCCCTAGATTCCCCCGGCAGTTTGATTTGGATGCAGCAGTCTTGATTACCTTGTCTCAGCAGCCGGGTAGTGGTGCACATTCTGAAAACTCTTCCATACAGCCTGCCTGAATTTCAGTGGTGGGTGGAGGGATTGCTGTGTCTATAGATTGTACATTTTGTTGAGTGCTTCTGGGGAATTCGCTTGAAAGATACGATGAAAATGTCTATTATTAAGTCCCTATTTAACTTGCCATATTGCGGAAACTGCAGATTCTACAATATTAGGCTTCCACTGCAATTTTGTCAGCTGTGGGCGGCCAACAGCGGGAGTCCTCACTCTCGGTCCTGCATTCCTGTTGTCAGCTCTGGGCTCCTACTCTCAGCCTCAGGTGGCTGACTGGAAAATTGCATAAAAATAATAGTGGATTTTATTACTGCAAATAATCAGCTCCCTTATTACCTTTCCTCAATTTTGCATGGCTTGTCCACAACTCAGCAGTGATTTTTGACAATCATTCTGGAATTCAAGGAGGACCTTACATATAGTAAAACGCAGCCAGTAGGCACTGGTACCCTTGACAGAAGACTCTTAGCAGGTCACGGAGAAGACAAACCACTAATTACCTCTTTGTCTTTGTTCCTAAATAGTTCCAAATCTTGCCATCTCATATTTAAGTGTTTTTGTCCTCCAGCTTCATTCTCCCTTGGAGCTTTTCTTTTCCATCTTCTTCAACTCTGTGCCTTCAGAACAGTAACTGCTGTGGGAAGCAAGCCTTTTTCTGATGGCTCTTTGTTGTATATATCAACACTCTGCAGATGCAGTGGGGTCGAACATTTCATTCTGCAGATCATCGACCGCCTCCCAGACATGGAGATCGTGATCAATGTGCGAGATTACCCCCAGGTCCCGAAGTGGATGAAGCCAGTCATCCCAGTATTCTCCTTCAGTAAGGTGAGAGACTGCAGGCTCCTTTGGGTTACTGGGGGACACTGTGACCTGTGTTTTATGATTCCCTTCAGTGGTTCCCAACCTTTTGGGGCTGCCGGGCTGGGCGGGGCTGGGCCCGTGGATGTGCCGGGGGTGCAAGAATGGCTTGTGCCTGCCCTGGTCACTAGGTGGGCACCATAGCGCCTGCGGGCACTGTGTTGGAGACCACTGCAGTTCGTTGCAGCCACAACAATAAGAAGCTGTTAATTCCTTTCCTAATGGGGCTCAGGAGTTTTTAAGGGGGTGCAAAATGGGGGTTATATCACAATGTACTTTTTTTCAATGCCCAAAGTCTATGAAAAAGTTTAAGGGGTGTTGCTCTTCATATTTGTAGAAGGCCTTTTTCCTTTCTTCTTCAGTACAAGGAATCAGAAATCTATCGAAGGAAATGACTCCCTCACAAGCTCATGCTCCAGATAAATGTTTCATCTGTCTGACAAATAAAGTGTTCGTTCATATCACTGCTGGGTTTACATGCCATTATCCGTGTGCCTCATTACCAGCTGTAGGTTTGATACAGTTTTAGTTGGATTTTAAGAATACCATGAATGGTGCACGCTCCTGGCCTCATTAAACACTCAGCTGACCATGAGACTGTTGCTTTGCGGTAATTTGCATATTATAATCCTCTTGGCTAGAAAAGTATCCTTAGCTTTTTCTCATAGCTGTGTGGTCATATGGATGAACTGTAGCCTCAGGATTACATCACAACTGTGAAAAATTATGGGTGTTTATTGAAGTTCCTTCTTTATTTCATGTGGCCTATGGAACCAGTTGCTCAGATACCTGAGAAGATGAAATACAAATGCCTCTACAGAGCCATTGGGGAAGTGCAGATCAACTGTTGGATGCTCAATTCCGATAGGAACCATTATGTTGATTTGTAGGATTGTCCCTAGGAAGTGTGAAGTGGGTTAAAGATAAGCTATGAGCAGCCTAGAAGGTAGAATGTTGCAGGAAATGGTCATAACAGTATTGTCTATTTTATGGTCAGTATTAACATTTGAAGCTGTACATAATACATACTTTTTTTTAAAAGGTAATCAACAACATGGTTCAGTGTATTCACTGATCACACTGATGGACAGGAAGAATCTTTTTGTCAATTTAGAGCATTGCACAACCAATCAGGTGCATTGTGGGTTTCTTTTCACCTTCCTTTATAGCATCTGATATTAGCAGGGCTCGACAAATAATGCAGTCTACTTGCCCGTGGCCAGTAGATTGCAACCCAGAAGAGCCGGGTTCGGGCGATCTGTGCATGCGCAGATTGCCGGACAGTGCGGCTGGTGAGCGGGGCTCACCGCGGTTTGGCAAGCCCTAGTCATAGCTGGAGACAAGATATTGGATTTGATTGTCCAGCAAATCACATAGCACCTCTTTACGCTTTGCATAAATGCAACACACAAATTAAAACTCTCTATTTGTTGGGCATGTGGCCTCTTAGCAACAGTGTTACATAGTCAGTGGGGTACATAGTAAGAAAGAGCAACACACTGAGAAACAGAATCTAAGCTTGGTTCTGCTCCTCTGGATAACAAACCTGCAGTCCGTTCCTCACATCTCTGAGAGCATTTGATTGAAATGTTTCCCCCAAGTAAAATGTTACAGGCTGTGGGAAACCAAAAAAACAGAAAGATGGCTTGATCAGCACCATCTGGGCAGGAAGCTTATGGTGAGGCTAGTTACAAGGAACAGTCCCTGTCATATACAAACTAAACACCTTTGGGTATCTTGTTGGTTTGTTTGTTTTGTTTGTTTTTTAAAACAAAATCCAGCTGCTCCTGTTCTTGGTTAAATGCATGGCCATTTGCGTGCCTCCTAATGTTCTTGTTTTTAAGACTTCTGACTACCATGATATCATGTATCCTGCCTGGACATTTTGGGAAGGGGGACCAGCCGTTTGGCCAATTTATCCGACAGGTCTTGGGCGCTGGGACTTAATGAGAGAGGACCTCCAAAGGTATGGTTCGGGGGAAAAGAGGCATTGTTTCCTAGAGAAGAAACAGCTCAGCATAATTATGCAAGAGCGCCTCTTAGCACTGATGCAACAACTTCTAAGCCTGTTAGGTCTATTTTTCTGAAGCAAATCACTTTGTACTAAGGGGGCTGTTTTTATATGGTAGAAGAGACAGAACTGCTCTAAGGCAGTGGCTCTCAACCTTTCCAGACTACTGTGCCCCTTTCAGAAGTCTGATTTGTCTTGCCTCCTCTCTTTCTCTCCCCCGCAAGTTATACCTCACTTACAAACTATTTGCAAATTGCTGACTTTCTCATTTTTACCATATAATTATAAAATAAATCAATAGGAATGTAAATACTGTACTTACATTTCAGTGTCTATGATATAGGGCAATATAAACAAGCCATTGTATGAAATTTTAGTTTGTGCCTGAGTCAGTCCGCATGTGCCAGCTGATCTCAGTGTAGACCTACACTAAGGACCAGAGTCTCCATTAGACTGAGGCAGCTTAGTAAGACAGGAGGGCTGTGTCTAGATTGGCATGATTTTCCGGAAACGCTTTTAATGAAAAAGTTTTCCGTTAAAAGCATTCTCAGAACAGAGAGTCTAGATTGGACTGGACACTTTTCCGCAAAAGCACTTTTTGCGGAAAAGCATCCGTGCCAATCTAGACACGCTTTTCCGCAAAAAAGCCCCGATTGCCATTTTCGCGATCGGGGCTTTTTTTGCGCAAAACAAATCTCAGCTGTCTACACTGGCCCTTTTGCGCAAAAGGGACATTTGCCTGAACGGGAGCAGAATAGTATTTCTGCAAGAAGCACTGAATTCTTACAGTAGGAAGTCAGTGCTTTTGCGGAAATTCAAGGGGCCAGTGTAGACAGCTGGCAAGTTTTTCCGGAAAAGCGGCTGATTTTCCGGAAAAACTGGCCAGTCTAGACACAGCCAAGAAGTTTGTGAGGGTATTTTTCATTTGGTCATGATGTTCTTTTGTCAGTCTATGGGTTAGTGTCCCTCAGAAAGTAGCTCTTAGGCCAGGTCTACACTAGAGTTTTGTTAGGGATGGTTAGATAGCAGGTCAGTGAATAGTTGTGTAACCATATGAACTCTTAGTTCCTGGGGGTGGGGCCAGCAACCAGTGTGCTCCCAGCCCTGCTCCTGTGGAGCCCTCAGCTACCCCATGCTGCTGCCTCTCTATCAGAGACAGCAGCACGGGGTGGCAGGCGAGGGGAGCCAGTTTAAAAACCTGCTCCCCATGCAGGTCGGCTCCTGCCTGCTGCCCTGTGCTGCTGCTTCTGATAGAGGTAGCAGCGTGGGGTAACAGTAGCCCTGTCAATGGGGAGGGCCTGAGCTCCTTCCGGACAGAGGCTGCTGCATGGGACAACTGTGGCTAGCGTGAAGGACACCATGGCCTTAGGCTATGGGAAACTGAGCAAATACAGGAATGTGTAGGAAGCAAAGATCTGTTAGTAACAGACCACAGACCTGCTTGAATTCACAAGCAGTAGTTGAGGCCAAAATATAGGTTTTAAAAATAAATTGTGGAGGAACATTTTTAAAAAATAATTTCTCAAGCACAGAACTACACCAGGCATCTAAGGTGTGATTTTTTTTCTTTAAATAGCTTTTCACTTTAAAATATGTACAATCAGATCTATGCTCAGTGAAATGAAGAAAAAAAAAAGTAAAGCAGCAGCATAAGTAGTGAAATGTGGAGTTTTTAAATGATTTAAGTTTCAGTAATGCACAGTGTTACTGATAACACAAGGAAGAATTAATTTTTGTGTGTATAGATGGGCTGGGGAACATAAGGCCCGGGGGATGGATGCGGCCCCTGACGCTTGGGGCTTCTCCCCCCCCCCAGCATTGGCGAGCCCATGCTGGTGCTCCAGCTCTCCTGCCATCCCACCATGGGCCTGGAGCATACAAAATCTACAAGCCTTGGTCCTCCTGGGCTCTGGTGTGCGAAGGGAATGTGGGGAGTGTCTTTCTTCTCAGCTGGGGCTTCATCAGTGAGGGGATTTTCTTTTTAGCTTCTCCCTTATGTGTGGGTGGCCCCCGACTGATTTTTTTTTTCTTTCCCCCCACGGGTCAGCGATCCCTGACCCAAAAAAGGTTCCTCGCCCTTGGTACAGATTGTTATCTTGACCATGTCCCTGTAACATGTTGGCTAAAGAGTTACCATCTGTGGGAAAGGCCTGTCTTGCTGGGCTTAGCTGACGTGTTTTCTGCTCTAATGAAAGAATTGGTTCCCATCAAACCTCAAGAATAATGCAATTCGACTATGCTGCAGAAACTGATGAAGCTTTTTCATGCTTATATTAAATTATTTATTACCACATATAACTTCTTTTTCCAGATCTGCAGAAAAATGGCCATGGAAGAAAAAAATCTCCAAAGGATATTTTCGAGGATCCAGGTAAGTGCTTTTTCCAACTCCAGGATATTCTGGCAAGATAGGCTGTGAACAGTTCCAGTTGAATTAAGAGCAAACTAAGGTGGAGAAAAAGATACACTAGCTTTTTATTTCTGGGGATCTTTAAGTACTAGTTGTTACAGCAATTGCCATTTAAAAGCAGTGTTTGCAATCCTGTGATATTTTCTATGCTAAGTGCAGGTAATATTGCGAATTCTCTTTAACATCGTAACAGTGTTGCACAGAAAATAGTGCTTTGTTCCACCCTCGCCCCACCACATGGCCACTGCTGTTTCTGTCCCCTTCCTGAAGAAGAAAAGCACCTGACAGAATCTGGCACAATTACTAGTTTCTGCTTCAGGTCAGCAAGAAAGCCGAATATGTTTGGCTTGAGGAGCAGCAGCTGAGCTGCATGGGGATGCATATAGGGATATGTGAACATTGCAGCTGGAAGTGAGCCTTCCAGCCTTGATAAAATAGACTTGCATGAACATGCTGAAAAATAGTGGTGGGCATTGTGGCACCAGTGGAGGCTTGGGCTTGCCACCTGTAGCTAGCTTGAGCCTCAACTTTTGCCTCAGCGTCCACACAGCTAGTTTTAGTTTGCTGGCACAAGCCCTTTTAACTTGCGTCTGTCTACTGGGCTGGGAGCCTCACTTTGAGCTGTGCTGTCAGTTGTCTGGACTTGTGAAATTTTGTCCCTCCAAGTACTGAACAAAAATGTAACCAGGCTATGTTTCTAAAAAGCTAAAAAAGCAACCACATTGTACAACATCCTCTCAGCTCATAACTCCTTTTTAGTTGCCATTTGCAATGAATCAATTGGAATAATAAAAGCAGCGATGGGCATGCAATGAAGAGTTCAACTGTTTTAATTCTTAATTAATAAGATGGTTTGAATAAGGACTCTTTTTGTTCTGTATTTCATTTCCCTAGCAACGGGAACTACAGATACTTTGATGCGCATTGGAAGGTTTGTCTGGCATCGTTGTAACTTCTTTTTGGGCATCTATATGCTCTGTTTTGTATTTTTCAACAACGGTTCATTTCAGTGTGAATCAGCAGCTATCCTTACAGCAGACACACCTGGATGGTGGGGAGTAAGGAAGGAAGGACTAAACTCTTTTTTCCATGACTCTCCACTGGTAGAATCACAGTGGAGTTATAGTGACCCTCTGGTTCTCTCTGTACTATTTTTTTTTTATAGCTTGTGCATTTAAGAAAACAGAGCTGATAATGTGCAGCTATCAATAGTGTATTCAGGAGGCAAAGAGAATGAAGGTTTTATTCAGGTTACACCCATGTTAAATTTACTGCTGACAAAAGGCCTAACCCTAAAAGATGCTAGACGTTTCTTAACTCCATGATGTAGATCTAAATTGAGGGTAGTCAGCACCTTTCAGGATCAGGCCTGCTGAGAATAGCTTGTGTGCTGTTTTGTTCTGAATAATGTTTAAAGAATACACCACTTAAAATTAAATGGAATAAGGGAATATCATGTACAGTTATTTCATTGCACATACTCTCTGCCATCCCCCAACAGTGTCCTCTAATAGATACTGTGAGTGGGCACTTAGCAATGTTGCTTTCAGGCCACACAAGAGCCAGTCTGATACAGCCCAGACAGTGTTTGTCTTGAATCTTGTTGTTAGTTGGCTGTCGTCAGATGTGCAGAACGGTGCTGACTGATTTGAATATTGATTCTGTTACAGAACAAGCCCTGAAAGGGATCCCCTCATTCTTCTGTCTCGAGAGAACCCAGAGCTTGTCGATGCTGAGTATACTAAAAACCAGGCCTGGAAATCTGAAAAAGTAACTACTAATGAGCCAACTAGTTGAGCAGCTTAAGAAACAATAATTGCAAAAGAGCAATTTCAAGTGCTTTATGTAAAGGTTGCTTCTTAAGAGACTGGTGATAATAATGGGGCGGGGGGGGGGGAGACAAGTCACAATAATGGGGCGGGGGGGGGGAGACAAGTCACTTCTTAAGCCGCTGTTAGGTCATGTGTTGTGATTAAATTGCAGCAAGGGAGGTTTAGGTTGGACATTAGGAAAAACATCCTAACTGTCAGGGTGGTTAAACACTGGAATAAATTGCCCAGGGAGACTGTGGAATCTCAATCTCTGGAGATATTTAAAAGCAAATTAGACAGCCACCTGTCAGGGATGGTCTAGACAGTACTGGGTCCTGCTGTGAGGGCAGGGGACTGGACTCAATGACCTCTTAAGGTCCCTTCCAGTTGTAGTGTTCTATGATTATTGCCATCGGATGGCTGTATCTGTCTAAAGGAAGTATTGCATGACCTCATCACTGCAGTCTTTGAGCAGCTCACAAATATTAAAAAATCAAGGAACAAGTTTTCTTTTTTTCCCCAATCTGTAGGATAACCAATTTGGTTAATTATTTTGTGCGTGTGTGTGTTAGAGAGAAGAGGCTATTAAGAGAGAGTGGTATCAGAGAGATGTTGCCCTATAGATCTGAGTGCAAAGAGTCCCAGGGTCATTCCTGTCTTTTAGGTGTGAGTTCCATAGCATAAAACAAGTCCTATGAAGTTCTGTTTTCAGCCCTTGTGAACCTCTGCTGGTGGTCAATAGGTTCATTGTTGTGGAGAACTGTAGCTGTTGGAAGAGCTCATAGTCATAGAGGAAGTGAGGCTCTCACAGGTAGCTAAGGTCATTCCAACAGAGGGCTTTGAATAGCAGGAAAAGGACTTCGAAATGGACTCTGCCTGCGCTCCCTACTGAGTATAGTGTGTGAAGCACTGGAGGGACGAGGTCAGAGTGACCTGAGATGCTGCTGGTGGAGTAACAGTGTTTTAGATCTAGTAGAGTTTTCCCAAGGTGAGTGACTTCAGTCTTAAGAGTCCCAATAACCAAGCCAGGAGGTCCTGAATTCATGGGTAGCCAAGTCTATGTGTTGACAGACTAGAGCACAGTCGTTGTTTTATCTTTTGTCTTGGTCATTTGAATATCCGACTACTCGACTAGTAAATTAATTGATAGTTAACATCCCTAGTACAATGTTTAATGTGCTATTATTAATCATTAGGATAGTCAAGACAGAAGCAGACTGTGAGAGATTCCAAAAAGATCTCTCCAAACTGAGTGATTGGGCAACAAAATGGCAAATGAAATGTAATGTGGATAAGTGTAAAGTAATGCACATCGGGAAAAATAACCCCAACTATACATACAGTATGATGGGGGCTAATTTGGCTACAATAAATCAGGAAAGAGATCTTGGAGTTATTGTGGACAGTTCTCTGAAAACTTCCACGCAGTGTGCAGCGGCGGTCAAAAAGGCAAATAGGATGCAAGGAATTATTAAGAAAGGGATAGAAAATAAGAC